CTTAGTCGCTTCTCCATCTCCGACCAACATCCGATAAACCGACTGGAAAATTGTCATGTATAAGGACTAAGTGCTATAATATCTCATAATGGCAACATACAGAATGTTACTTACATGAATAAAACATCATCGACTTTCTAAAACCTTCATCAAGCTTAGCTACCAACATTAGAGTATAATCTAGAATCTATATAAAAATCATCTCCACCGCCACAAGAAGAATTATCCAGAAGCTTGCCGCCTTTTCTTGCCACCACCATACTGGAAGAAGCTATAAGGAATTGCCACTGACTATACACCTATAAACATGGACTAGAGTGTGAGAAGAGAGAAAGAAGAAGAGTGAGAATTCAGGGATACTGAGAGAGAAGTGGAGTTATAGAGAGGCTGTGTATATATAATATATGTGTGCTTAGGAGAGAAAGTGTTTTAGTGGAGTGAATTGGTGGAGAGAGAATGGATAAAAGGTGCTGCGTGAGTGAATTTTATGGTAGGCCAAGGTGCTTGAGCCTTGAGTATGGTGTATATCCAAAATTGTGTAAAATCAATTTCATTAATAAAATTATATTTCTTTGTGAGTTCAAATTTAACAATTTGGTATCAGATCTCAACATTACATGGTTGTGATAATTTTAGAAAGTCTATTTATTGGTATGTTTTCAGGAAGTTGATTCTTGTTAAGACCATTGTAACAGGAAGAGAACAATTATATTCAAGAACAGAGCAGGCCAGGTTTATTTTTTCCCCATCAATGCAAGACTTGCACTAATATCAAGTCACATTGGGACTGATTTTCCTTGCAGATTACAATTCCTTAAGACTCCTGCTTGAATGAAAATGAATTACTATTTTATGAATACATGATGGACAAATTGAATGACTATTCAACATACAAGTAAATACGTGATGGACAAAATTTCAAGTCTAAAATAGAGTCAAATTTTATAACATGTGGCAAGTTGATGAAAAAAAAAGAAACGAAGAAAACGGACTTACAAACGAGGTTGGACATGTTTCCATAAGAGTCGGGAATCACATTCCCCTCGAAGTTATTATTGTTAAGCTGCCTTCAATGTGTAGAGGAGGGCGAGGAGAAGGAATGACAAATTATTAGAGGGGAAAAGGATTTATATGATAGAATGACTAGTCCATGGACTATAAAAAACTGAAAGTAGATAGAAGTAGACGTAAACTAGAATAAGATGTGTCAACGTAATAAGAAAAATATGTCCATAACGTTAATATATCACAACAATTCGCAAAATAGTAAACTAATGTCCAATGCTCGACCGACGTTAACAAAATTAAACATAAACATTTAAACCCTACTATGACCAACAAGTTCTTACGTTACAACAAACCATATAACAAATATAAATTGGCGTTATAGTACTCTTTCTACCACTTTCTACCACAAATGCAACTCATATCACATGTTCAAGTCGGTCCATTTCCTTTCCCATCACATTTGGCAATTCCTTATCCCTTGTGAAATGTTTGGTGCAATGATATATCGACATCTCATTTTTTGACATTGTCCAAAGAAGTGAGTGTTACTTCTACAACCCCGTCAAACTCCAAAGTTCCATCCTCTCATTCTAATCTACAACTGTTAAAGAAACAAATAAACCCACACGTGAAAGGAAATGTGATTTGGCAGAAATGTAATGAATGAAATGCAAAAGAACAAGAAGAAGCAATGAATATTTTCTCTGCCTTTTCATTCCAAGTTGTGTTAATTGAGTACAAATGAGAAACATTTATACACGAAATGAAATAACAAATTACTGGCAAGCAACCGACAGCACATGACTTTGCTCCCTATTATACAACACATCAAGACACCTTAGCAGAAGCTAAAACAGAAATACTAATTAACAACTATGTACAAAGGAGAACGAATTGTCATTTTCCAATTGCCTTTTTATTTTTTTCGCACTGGCTGTAGCATGGATCATCTCTTCATCATCATTGCTTGACACTTCATGCCTCAAAAACATAAATGCAATTGAATTACAAACTCCCACATTACAACTTATGTTCAAATACAGATAAATGGCTTAGTCATGGTCTATCAAAATTGAACTACATAATGAACAAATGGTTAATTGGCGCAAAACGTCCCTACCTTTCAGTTTCATTGTGAAAAACGTCCCCACCTTTCATTTTTTTAGCATTTTTGCCCTCATTTCAACCTTTCATTGCGACGAACGTCCTTCCGTCCAACATC